ATTGTCTGGGTGCCACAGAAAGGGGAGTTCTGCCATGATTGCAGCCTGTGGACCTTTGCTTCGTTGTGAGAAAGGTGATGGAGTTTGGATGGCTTATTGAGGCCTCACAGAGTTGGAGACTTCTTCTGAGACACCTGAGGTCAGTCTTCAGCACTTGGGACCTGGCAGATAGATCCATCTTTGTTGATTAGGGATTTCTTGCAAGTTAAGTCCAAATATTCATCTAATTGCCTCTCAGCCCAATCCACCACAAAGAAGAAAAGTTCCAGCATCCCTACTTGTATTCTCAGTTGGATAATCGAATCTCACAGCAAGGAGTCTGGCATTCTTTTTGCCTTGCCTTCCTCCCAAGTGGAGGATCTGGGGTCTTTCAGTGAGAGCATGTAGGCCTGAAGCCCTCCCCTCAGGCTAAGCCCCAAAAAGGGCACTATTTAGGAAAAGGAAGCAATCCCCCAGCAAGGATGAAATCTTCTCCACAAAAGAAAAGTCGAAGAGCCCAATAAGGTAGAGGACACAAGCCAGAAAGCATTCAAGATACTCATCCTCTTCCATCAGCTTCAGCATCTCCCCTGAATGAAGGAAACTCTTAATATTTGACCATGATAAATGCTAGCCAGAGTAGTAGGAAATGCATTTGAGACAAGAGGGAGGAAAATGGTGGCCACTATCCAGATATTTCTAGAAAAAGAGGATGAACAAATCAAGTTCCGGGGTAAAACTCTTTCTTCCAAAATGAAGACAGAATTTTGCCAACTCCCTTCTCTCCATGACCGGTTTCAGTTAGGAACCTAGTCTGCTGAGAATCAGTATTGTTTGTTTTCATAAGATGAAGTGGCTCTGAGGATGCTGAAAGATGTCCACAGCCAACTATGCTGAAAGCTTTTGTGGAAGTGTGGTCTACTGGTTAGAGCAGGGGACTGGGCGGGGGGGAGGTTGGACTCGTATATGAGTTCTGTTGCTTCAGTTCACCAATCTGTAAAATATCGAAGAATTCCTTACTATGGTGTTGAGACTTAATGTCTTGAACAGCATTTTGAGATTGCAATGGTTTCTACCGATTACTTTCCTGGAAGTTCCTTTGTATCGTTCATGTGAGCTGCACAGAGACTGTACTGTAGTCTTAGGGAGTCCTTTATCCAAGACTGGATAGACAGCATTGTTAAGAAAAGTAAAACAATCCTGTGACTGGATTGGATTAAAGTATAGTACTCTGTTAATAGTTCAATTCCTTTAAAAGGTAATCTGAATCCTATTAGAAGTTCTATAATCTGCTACCTTAAAAATCCTTTGGGTAGAGTTCATATGCTATACCAGGATCTTTACCTATTATGAGGTGATGCACTATGTCTTGGTTTTTGTTCCAAGAAGCAAGTCTCCAGGAGATGGTATTTATTTAAATGTCACAGTGCCAGAAATGTAACAGTTCAAATAGCATACCAGAACAGCACTGGCTTTCTGTAAAAACTTGTGCAAAACAACAACAAAAAATTGTTTTAAGACAGCACCTCAGTTCTCCGTGTTTTTTTTTCATAAATATGAAAGATGCATTTTGGAGAAAAGCTGTGTTCCTGGTTCAGTTTAATTTTCACAGAGAATTTTTGAGAAACTATATTGGTTGAATTATGTAGATATGATTACCACACAATTTTGCTTCATTTATTTATCCCTGTGATGAGGGGTTAAATTAGCTTCTCAACTGAGTTGTTGTTTGACTTTTTTTTAAGTCAGTGGGAGTGGAGGTCATTTATTTTCCAAATCCTATGGTATTTAGTAGATTATGGTGGGCTGCTGCATTTTTCCTTTGGATTAGGCATGACATAATAATAATAGTGGGTTTTCAGGACTAGAGTCTAATGTTTAATTACAGTCCCTTTAATTAAGGTGGTTTTTACCTTGTCATTTCATAAGAGGAAGCCAGTTTGGTGGATTTTTTTTTATAACCATTGTTTATGCTCTTAAATAAATATATGGTTAACTAATTTCTCATACTTCCTTCAAGTGCTAAACAATATGAAAATACATTGGGATTAATATATAAATAAAATTAGTCAAATCAAGGAGTTACCCAATTCTAATTTGTATTATTAACTAAAAAGAGAACTGTTTAAGATGAACAATTGATCTCATCATTGCATGAGCACTATCAGTATATGTGGCCTACAATGAGCCCACCTTTTTTTTCCTACTTGTAGAATTTAGCTGTGTGAATGGTAATAATTCACTCAGTGGAGATTTGGAGACTTCCTGGCACAGTAATTAATCTAGGTTTGAAGACTTGGCCTTATTTGGGCTGTGGATAGTATTTTTTTGTTTTGTGAAGGTGGGTGTTGCCACAATAAGTGAAGACCATTGATGGAAAGAGGCTGCAATTGTACTCCTGCCCTTCTAATTCTTTCTGGGCCAAGATATTCCAAATTAATTTTTAAAAGATTTTGTGTGCCCAACTTGAGATACCTTAAATAGGGTCTGATTTGCAGAGGACAGGTGCTCCACATTCTCTATTTGGGCCCTCAAAATGACTTAACCCTTTTGAAAATCTTAGCGATACAGCAAAATTTGGTTTTTAACAAAAGGATAGAAGTGTACTGTTTTTCCTCTTTAAGGTTGCTACTTCTGTCTAGGAGCACGCAAGCTGTTTGCACACATTAGCGTGATGAGGGGCAGCTGCCGGTGAGGTTGGTGCCCACCCTGGTGGGCAGAGCTGGGGGCGGTACAGCTGCGCTGGAGGAGCTGCCCAGGCTGGGCTCTGGCTCCTGTGAGTGGTGGCCTGACAGGCTGCTGTAGTTCCTGATAGAGCCCTGCAGCTTCACAGGTATCTGCTTTATAGCCATGGATATTCGCATCTGCAGGTACAAATTTTGTATCCACGCAGGGCTCTACTTTTAGTATTCATCCTATTAACAGTTTGCTGTCGTACCTGTAACATTGTCTCTTTGAGAAACTTAGAACTCTCCTGAACTCCTTTTTCTTTTAGATTTTATTCCCATAGGCCATTACAAAACTCAGAAGTGGTTGGTAAAGTCTGCTTTTTTTGAAGGCCATTGTCTTTATTTTGCTGTTCTTGCTTCTTTTCCTTAGAATCACGTAATCACCATTTCATGATCACTTTCACCCAGATTGTCTTCAACTTCAGATTCACAATGCTGTTAGTCAGAATAAAGTCTAAAATGGCCGTTTCCTCAGTTACTTCCTCCACCTTCTGAAACAAACATTTGTCCCCAATGTATTTCAAGAATTTAATGGACATTTTGTGTTTTGCTGCATTACAATCACTCTGTTCCCACAGTCCTGGAAAGCAGTGTTGCGAGCTCACAATTTTATCACAAGTCTTGAGATACTTGATGTTTCTTAAAGCCCCAGCTCCTGGACTAAAGTGACTATGTAAGAGGGTTTTTTTGTTTGTTTTTTTTAAATTAAGCTTAAAGTTCTTGTGGATATGGAATAAAGCTTGAGAACATGAACTGGCTGTACCTTTTAAAGGCTGAAAAACTAGAAGGAAAATACATAGAAACCCCCTCCTTCCCCCTTTCATCTCATGCATTTTTAGAGCTTGACTATGATTTTTTTTTTTTGGTGCTCTTGCATTTTGGCAATACTGGGGGGAGAGAGAGATTAAATAAAATAAGGTGGTTGTGTAAAATTGTGTAATTTGCAGGGGGACCCAGGAGCAGTAGCTGAAACTATTTTAAATTGTTTATTTGTTGGAATTAATTAGATTTGAAATTGACAGTGACCCTTTAAGTACAATTCAATAAAGTTCCAGAAAAAATATTCCTCACTTACATTTAAAATAACTTGTTTCCTTATTGGTTCATGCCGTCAGCAAAATAAAAATTGCCCACCAAACTTTTTCCTGTGTACTGAAATGTATTCTTTTTTTCTTTGTAGCATGAAAGTTACATGACTTGTTTGTTTTTTTAATAAGTGATATCCAATGTACAGAAATAAATTTAGTCACAATCCTGCAAAGGGTTATGCATGGGCTTACCTTTATACACTCCAAGTAGTCTCATTGAAATCAACGATAGTGCTTCTAGTGTTTATAGTTAAGCACATGCATAACTCTTTGCAGGATCAGGGCCTTAAATTCTAAACCATATTTCCTTTTATACAAATGTAGTTTAGTGTTTCTTACATTGCAGGAAACTGTCAAAAATGAGATTAGAAACAGCTTGCAGAGGAGATGCAACAGTATTCTGAAAATCTTTAGAAAAAACTCTGGAGCAGACATAGGCGGATAGATTGGTTTTTATTATCCATTTATATAAGTCCTTTGTTTGCCATTTTGTTTAGATTTTTCTAAATCCCCAATTACTGTAAAGGTAATTAGCAATCAGAATTGGTTTTCAAAAGATTCAAATTCCCTACGTGGCTTTGCAGATCTAAATGTCTGGCATCCAACCTAGTTAATGAGCTCACAGCTATACAAATGGGATCACTTATAATAGCTTTGCCAGCTCTTGAGTAATTTCAGGATGAACTCTTCCAATGTGAAAAAACGCTTTATGAATGAATGTTGGGTGTTTTTGTAATTAACCATTCCCCTTAATTAATTTTTGGCTCCAAGTCTCTCATTTCTCAAAGAAGGAAGTTATACAACTAAGAAGTCTAGCTGCCAAAATCACCATTTCTCTATTCCAAGCTGTGTAAAAATGTTACAGTATGTAATAAGTTGGCTTTGGAAGAGGCAATATCTCATTTTGCATTTATATGAGAGACTTTAAAACCTTGTTGGTGTTTGAGGAGGAGGAAATTAGCTTGCTCACCTACTGCAGATATTCATGTTTCATGAGCAGAGTTGGCTTATAAAAGAGCACTGTATAGATTACTGACTTTGGTGACAAAATGTAAAATAGACTTGATGAATTGAAGGTGTTCATATTACTTCGTTCATGTTGGGTTGAACATAACTCTTCATTTGTGTCTGAGCCTAAGTTCTCATGTGTTTACCACGATGGTGGACTTGTGTGCAAGGCTATGTATTTTTCTTTGTTTTACAGAAAGAATGATAGAAGACCACGAATTGGTAATTGAAGTTCAGTCAAACTGGGGAATAGAAGAAGAAAATAGACTGTATTTTAGAAAAAACTATGCCAAATATGAGTTTTTTAAACACCCAATGGTAAGTCTGTCTTCTTAAAAGCACTGGTTGGGCAGCTGTTACTGCTGCCCTGACATGTGGCATAGTGATGAGGGGGAATGCCAGAAATGCAGGAGGACTTAGAGTGAGCTGTAAAATGTAATGGAACCTAAATCTACCTGTGACCTGTTAAAAGGAAAGGAAGAATGATCTTAAATCACTATAGGTATGTCTATGCAAGAGCTGGAAGGTGTAAATTCCAATTTGAGGAGATATGCCTGCATTAGCTCCAATTGCGTCAGTGTGCTAAAAATAGCAGTGTAGTCGCCACAGCATAAGCTCTGGGACGGGCTAGCTGCCCAAGTACATATTTGTGGTCTCAACAAGGTCGTACTTATGGCAGCTCCCCACATCCGCCCCATTTGCCCCACTGTGACTACACTCTAGTTTACCACACTAGCTTGATCAGAGCTAATGCGGGTATGTCTCCTCAAGCTGGAATTTACACCTTCCAGCTGTGGTGCAGACATATCTTAAGGGACACAAGAGCTTTCGGTTCTATTCCTTGCTCTGCATGTATTATCTTGAGCAAATCATTTAATCACTCTCTCCCTCAGTTCCCTATTTCTGAATGGGGATAACTCCCCATCTCACAGAGATGTTGATAAATTAATTAATGGTGAGGGGTCGGATACTATAGTGGTCCATGGAAATAACTTAGACCCAGTACATTGGTTGACCATGGTCATGCAGCCTTGGTGGGCAATATAGACTCTCATTAGCTTACCAATCAGGGCCCAACATGAAAGGTTACTTTATGTACTTTGTGAAGGATTTAATTTGGGAATTGTCCAGCTATTAGGAAAGACTATCATTTTAGATCTGGGGCCAAATCCTCAAATCTGGTGTAAACCTGCATAGCTACAATTCAGACAGTGGAGCTGTGCTGACTTACACTAGCTCTGGCCTACAATACCTCTTTTGTATTTTTGCAAGTTTCCCCCATTTGATCCATATTAATATCACACAGAATAAAGAGAGTGTTCACAACAAATCAGAGGGGATTTTTTCTGAATTAGTAAAAGGTAGCAAAAAATATATTAACCAACATTTTGTTTCAAATAAGATTTTAAATGTTTTTGACAATATCTCCCACTTATTTCCTTCGTCCACTGGGATACCATATCAACTTTAACAAAACTTTCCTTTTTAAATGCATTTTCCCTCTTCCTAGATAGTAATATGTTGAAGCCTAGGGCAGGCCTATTAGGCGTGAAGGGGTGGGTGAATGATAACCTTAGATTGTCAGGTAATGTCTACACTTAAAAAAAACCAAACAAACAAAAATAACAAATCACAACAGCCAACAAACCACAACCTAGCAGCGAGTATGAGCCTGAGTCAACAGACTTCGGTAAATGGGACTTGTGCAGGTTTCAAACCCTGGGCTCCAGCCCAAGTGGGAAGATCTATACTGCTGCTTTAGCCCCATAGTGTGAGCCTGAATCAGTTGACCCAGGTTCTGAAACCCACTGGCACAGGTTTTTGCAGTATATGTGTATCCTAAGTATTGTCCTTCCTGCAGTCTGACTTGATGCAGCAGACCCTGCATTGAAATCTTTTAAAAAAACAAAACAAAAAATAAAAACCCAACCAAACTTTGAAGTTTGCTCTCACAAACTCAGCAGCTGAATCTACAAGATACCACAATATGAGGCTATTTTAATGGATCCCTCCCCTTTCCTAAATTCTTTGAGAGTGGGGAAATCTCATTGTCTTTTTGCTCTGTGCAATTGGGTGGTGGATCCGTTTATATGTCTAAGAGAAATCTGAAGGTTTTTGTACTCACATTTACAGAAGTTTTAATATGTTCTATTTTAACAGAATTATTTTCCAGAGCATATGGTGTCGTTGTCAAGCGAGACCAGTGGAATGATAGGCCACGCCCAGATATTACAGGTATGCAGTATTTGCATTAAGATAAACCAATTCACAGCAGAATACCTCAATTTCAGGTGTCCAGTTTGTGCGTACATAGTATTTTGTCACTGACCGAATTGTAGTGGCCTATTGGATGACTAGAGAGACGTCTTGTCATGAACCAAAAAGGTAATATTCCCCCGCTATGCCGTTCTGATATAACTGCACCTGGAATGATTCAGTTTTGGGGAATTCATTGCCGTAAAGATATTGACCAATTGGAGGGAGTTCAGAAAAGAACAAAATGCAGCAAAAAATGGTTTGGTTGAGTTGGGTGGAGTAACTTGCAAGAAATGACTGAAAGATTAAAGTAGTGTAGCCCATCTAAAAGGCTGGGAGCCCAACTGTCCTCAACTGTTTGACAGTGGTACATGCAAAGGAAAACAAGGAGATTTTTAACACATTGCAAGTGGAGTAAAGGGATGAACTTAATGAAAGGAAGATTTAGACTGATTGGCAGAAAAAAAAATCTTATGGCTGGCATGGTTTGTTAGTCTGTGGAATGTTGCAGTCTCCCAAAAGAAGTGGTAGAACCTAGTACAATGGTCCATGACTTCCAGGTGTCTGGGCACTATGGTAATACAAATAATAAATAATATCCACAGTATGTTTTAAATATAAGCTGGATGCATCATTTTAAATGTAAAATGGGGAGCAATCTGCAGAATAGAAAACAATCCTGTAGTGGCCATGAGATGGATCCTAAACAAGGGGATCTTCCCTTTCTTTTATTATATATTTGAAATGGCAACACTTACACATGGGAAACCTTTCACTGGTGCTAGAGAGAGCAACCTACCATATGTATTTGGGGCTAAAAGGGTGTTGAAAAGGAACAGTGACAAAATAGGATTTTTTAAAAAAAGTTAAAACCGCAAGATTTGTTAAAATTGGAAGATAGTTTAATATACTCTGACAGGTTTCAGAGTAGCAGCCGTGTTAGTCTGTATTCGCAAAAAGAAAAGGAGTACTTGTGGCACCTTAGAGACTAACAAATTTATTTGAGCATAAGCTTTCGTGAGCTACAGCTCACTTTGGGGAAAGCACAAAGTGCTTTAAAAACATTAATGAATTAAATTTCAAAACATGCCTGTTATAAGTGTAGGACGCTGTCAGCGCTGATTCCCCACTCTGGCACTTCGAGTGCAGAAAGTGGGGGCCCACAAGGATTCTAAAAATTTAATATCGGCCACTCCAGGCTTGTTATCAAACTCCCAAGGTTACAGCTTTTCTCTGACCGTGGATGGGTAGCCACTAGGATGACCAGATGTTCCGATTTTTATAGGGACAGTCATGATTTTTGGGCCTTTTTCTTATATAGGCCCCTATTACCCCCCCCTCTCCCGTCCCGATTTTTTATGCTTGCTCTCTGGTCACCCTAGCCACCACCCAAGTTCAAAAACCCCTTCGAGAACCCAGAAAGGCGCACTTGTGAATTCCTTCCTGTGGGGTACTGTAGAAAGGGTTCGTCAGGGCTCGTCCCTCTCCAGGGCAGCAGGGAACCACACCGCCTCCCTTAGTCCCTGCACTGGTCCCTGGGGAATCAGTCGAGTCACAGGAGTCCTGGCTCAAGCTGTCCGGCCGGGGCTGAGCAAACACGGGTAACAGTTAGCAGTTGACAGGCCCAGGCAGAAATGAGTTTGAGGCTCAGGCCCTCAGGCAGGGGCTGAGCAAACGCAGGTAAACAGCATACCCAGGCTTCAGGCTCTGAGTGGCCTTGAAAAAGGGGAGACTGCCAAATAATGTGTGGGTGGCAGGGAGGGACACAGGCCCTCCCATTCCACTGCGTCCCAGCTCAGGACCCTAGCAGCGGCCAAAGACCCGCGACTGTGTCAGTGGGGATCCTGGCTGCAACACACTGATGTGGGTTCCGGCAGTGTTGCAGCCAGACTTGGGTCGGCTGCCCCCGGCCTACTTCGCAACTCCCTCTCTGGAGGCACCTGTGTCAAGGTGGTGCCCTCAGGGGGATCCATCACCATTGGATGCTCGGGGTAGCTGGCGAGGGGTAGGCTCGACAACTCTCCCACACGCTGATCCGTGTCAAGTATCGGCTGGTCAGGCCAATCTCCAGGTCCGCCACTGTTTGCTGGAGTCCAGAGGTGTCTGGCCCCTTCAGTGGCTGACGCTCTGGGGTTGGGCTCTTACACTTCCTGTCCAGCACCTGACCCTCTGGAGGGCAGGCTTGGAGTGCTCTGGCCCTGCCCACTCTGGTGTCTGGCAGAGCTTATCCCTCTCCGGGGTGGTGGGGAACCACACGGCCTCCCTACAGGTACTCTCAAGCCCTTTCACCCCTCCCTCAGGGAAGAGCTGAGAAGGAAAACAAAGGAAATCAGCTGTTGCCATCAGCTAATTAAACAACATATGCACAAACCTGAGGGACACAAAAATCCAATCCTGTTCTTAAAAAGGGTACATTTTTATTAAAAACAAAAAGAAAGAAAATACATCTTGAATTTAGGCTTTTTACTAGATTAAAAACCCCCCAAAAAACAATTTACAAGGATTAAGCATCAAGATAGCTTCCTTGAGGTTCAGTTTAAAGGTTACAAGCAAAGCAAAAGCATCTGGGGTTAGCGCACAGGAGTCCACAAGCCATAAAGAAATTAAGAGAGAAATCTAATCATGTCTTCCTAGACATTTCCTGATCTACTTACATATCTGGAGTCTGGTGGCACCTTAAAGACTAACAGATTTATTTGGGCATAATCTTATCAAGAAGTGGGTTTTTTACCCATGAAAGTTTATGCCCAAGTAAATCTGTTTGTCTTTTAAGGTGCTACTGGACTCCTCATTTTTGTGGATACAGACTAACATGGCTACTTCTCTAATACATATCTGGGGTTTTAAATGAGTAGTTTCTAGGTATGATCTGATGATTTTTCATACCTGGCACAAGCTTTTACAGCATAGCTCCAATCCTGTCTCTGCTCTCCAGGAGAACAACCAGACAAAGGGGAATTTTTTCCCCAATTTTGAAAAGTTCTAGCCTTCCCATTGGCTCTTTTGGTCAGGTGCCCACTCCCTCCCTTTTATGGACTTTTTAGCCCTTTACAGGTAAAGCAAGTAGAGAACAGCTACTAACAGGGATTTTATGGCTGGCTGGCTGGCTGGCTGGGTGTCCATAAAAGGGAGCTACACCCAGCCCCTTCATTTATCACAGATGCATTTTACAGAAAGGAGAGCTAAAGTGAGTGGTTAGGTTTGTGGCAGAGTTAAGATAAAGTGTAGATTTCCTGATTCTAACCCCCTGCTGTGGGCAAAATGTTGAAACTTAGATGCTTTTAGTTCAGTCCCTAAAATCATCTTCAGGAACCAAAAATAAGAACATTTTAAAAAAAATCTACCTTTCAAAGGTGCTGACCCTTTGAAAATTGGGCCATTTTTCTTTTGCTGCCTAAATATGGATTTCAGAGTCTAACTTTAGGCACCTATATTTCAAAATTTTGGTCTCTGTGCTCATAGAATTTAACATCTCTTTATCTCAAAAGTGATCTCATAGTTTTGAAAGAAATATTTGACTTATTTTAAAAAACTAAAGTATATCTGCTAAAAACCTGTGTGCAGAGCCAGTTTAAGGCCTATGTACCACTAAGTCACTCAAGTCCTCAAAAATAGTGTTTAAGCAGTGCATAGTTTGTATGCTGGCCTTCTGCATAGGGTTCAGTTTTACTCCAAATATGAAATTACAGGTTAACTTGTCAATCAATCAAAACTGGATAAAACTGTTTCTTGTTAGTATATTTTTTTACATAGTATTGTCTGATTATTTATAATTGGTTCAATAGGACTTACTAGACATTAAGTACAGAACACCTTTGTGACTTACAAAGCCATCATGCACATTTCAGCAAAAGCCATTCAGTAGATCATTTAAAGTATGCCACTCTTTCCTTGGTAACTTTCATTAACACAAGTTAATGGGCTTGTGTCAAGGTTCCTCCCCCACTCTGAACTCTAGGGTACAGATGTGGGGACCTGCATGAAAAAACCTCCTTAGCTTATCTTTACCAGCTTAGGTCAAAACTTCCCCAAGGTACAAAATATTCCACCCGTCGTCCTTGGATTGGCCACTACCACCACCAAACTAATACTGGTTACTGGGGAAGAGCTGTTTGGACGCGTCTTTCCCCCCAAAATACTTCCCAAAACCTTGCACCCCACTTCCTGGACAAGGTTTGGTAAAAAGCCTCACCAATTTGCCTAGGTGACTACAGACCCAGACCCTTGGATCTTAAGAACAATGAACAATCCTCCCAACACTTGCACCCCCCCCTTTCCTGGGAAATGTTGGATAAAAAGCCTCACCAATTTGCATAGGTGACCACAGACCCAAACCCTTGGATCTGAGAACAATGAAAAAGCATTCAGTTTCTTACAAGAAGACTTTTAATAAAAAATAGAAGTAAATAGAAATAAAGAAATCCCCCCTGTAAAATCAGGATGGTAGATATCTTACAGGGTAATTAGATTCAAAAACATAGAGAACCCCTCTAGGCAAAACCTTAAGTTACAAAAAAGATATACAGACAGAAATAGTTATTCTGTTCAGCACAATTCTTTTCTCAGCCATTTAAAGAAATCATAATCTAACACGTACCTAGCTAGATTATTTACTAAAAGTTCTAAGACTCCATTCCTGGTCTATCCCCGGCAGAAAAACAGCATATAGACAGACACACAGACCCTTTGTTTCTCTCCCTCCTCCCAGCTTTTGAAAGTATCTTGTCTCCTCATTGGTCATTTTGGTCAGGTGCCAGCGAGGTTACCTTTAGCTTCTTAACCCTTTACAGGTGAGAGGAGCTTTCCTCTGGCCAGGAGGGATTTCAAAGGGGTTTACCCTTCCCTTTATATTTATGACAGCTTGCATTATTATCTGTGACATGCTTGGTCAAGTATCAAGAGCGATGTTAGTTTTAACAACCCAATTTTGAAATTCTCTTATGGTTTTCTGTGGGTTGAGATATATGCAAATAAAATAT